TGTGTGTGTGTGTATGGGTGTATTTTTAGTCTTTTTAGGCACTGTGACCAAAATGTATTATTATTGTTTTTAACCGACATTGACTCTAACTAGGTTTAATATTTTGCAGGCTTTGTTTTACAAACTTTGGCCAGTTTTTATTCACTTTCTACTTAAATTATATATAATATTTATATTACCACTTTATTATCATTTATCTTCATATTAGCTTTGTTTGCTAACGTCTAGCTGTCTTTATGTCTGCTTTGAGTTAATTATAACTAATTCTGACGACTTTTTCAATATTTTATGCATTTCTTCAGGGTTTTGTTATTCATCTTGTGTTGATATTTTAGTTTACACTACAGTATTCTGCTATTTTTACAAACCTACTTTGTCATTAATTGAGAGTAGTAATTTTATTATTGTTTTTTTTTTGTTTTTTATACTTAATTGTTTAATATTATTGCCAAAGCTATTGATTTTCAATTTTCGGTTTTTATCAATTTTTTTTATCATTTATCAATTCGTTTTTATCAATTTTCGTTTAATCAATGTTCGTTTTGTTTACACAATTGAAAAGTTCAATTGTCTTTACATGAACGTGGCACCGTGTCCACTAGATGGCACTGCTAATCCAGGAAAGACATCTCTTAACACGGGACTATTTACAGTTTAAAATTAAGTAAGAGTTAGATAGATAGAAAAATAGATAAATTAATATCCTACAATCTGTATCCTTCAATTTGTTTTGAGACTTTAATTTATTGACAGTCCATACATTTAATAGTCTATGGAAACCATGAGAATGAATTGATAACAGAGAGCTGTTATTGATTTAATTATTATATTGATTGAGTCATCAGATCATTTTAACTTGTGTCCCTTCTCCCCCTCATAGAGCCACCATTCCACCTGTGGGACATCTCCAAACTGAAACTGACTTCATATCCGTCTGTGATCCTCATTTACACAACACCTCTCCTGCTGTAGCCCCTCCTCTCCCCAGCCCTCCTCCCTCTCCTGCCTATGCTGCTGCTGATGATCACCACCTCCTGAACAGGCGCTCCTGTCCTGGTGTTCCTCCTGTCAGTGTGTCCTCCTGCAGCTCATCTGTCCACATGCTCTCAGCACAGAGGGAGCAGACAGGAAGTAGCTCCTCCACCTCCTTCACCTCGTCCTCCTCCTGAGGGCTTTAACTCCTGGATTACACTGATACTCCATTTCTTTTTTATTTCATTGATATATCTTTTTCCTCACACCTGCCGTCATGTCTCGAGCTCCTGATGGTGTGAGTAAACTCACTGAAAGTACTTACAAGGTGAGTAATCACAGACAAAATATTATGGAAAAAGTAAATTATTATGGTTTTTCTGAATTGTTTGTGTTATAATACACAGTGCAGAGGTGCACTACTATTTTTAAGGATGGCTAATTGTGGTGATACCTGGGAGGGCAACTGCTGTCCCCGAGACACTGAGGACTTTGAAGTACAACACAAATGTACTGCAGTTTAAAATCAGTCGAACTCGAAATCACACATTTTAGCCTTTTTTATGAATTTTAAATTGGATAAGAATTTACAGTTTTAAGATTATCCTAGAAATAACAAAAAAGAAAGCAGAGAATTCTAACAGATATAAATTAACTAATTGTTACGTTGTACATAAATAGCAAAGTTTTAGTCCAAAAGTAAAAGTTAAAAAATATCTAGCAACAAGCCCCTATACAGCAAAACAAGTCGTAAAAATAAATACAATTGAATCTTGGAATGTCAATAGTAAAATCAGGCCATGAGATAAAAGCAAAACAGCAACAAGTCAGACTTGCTCGGCCAAACTAACAATAAGTTGATTTCAAGAAAGCTGAAATGTGCAGAAGAAGTTAAAAAAAAAACACAGAGCCAAATACTAGCCTGAAGACTAAAGAATACTACTTTGGTGCTAATAATAAAAAAAAGAAACAACACATGACTAAAGGTTTTGGTACAAATAACACCAATGGCTAAAAAGAGTAATTTAAAGTTAGCCAAAAAGCTAAATGACAGCCTTTAATATAGCATAAATATACCAAATATATACTGGTAACATAAATTTAAAAAACTCTGGTAATAAAATATTGTGAAAGAAAAGTGACCAAAAACTCTTAATAAATGTTAGGATCAGCCCAGGGGCCAGAGATTGGACAAACCTGCTGCAGTGGTGAAGCCTGCGCGGTCTGTCGTTTTAATTCTGGCTCAGGTTTTATGAGAGTTTTATTTGCTGTCATTACCTTAACTTTAAGACGCTAATAACAATAATTAATAATCAGATCAGCTGTTTGAGCCAATGAAGCTCATTTTTATTTACGAGATAAACAATGTAACCAGGAAGCAAAAGGTACCGTTGGTAAAAGTCTAACAGAGTCCCAATTTCGGACCACGCCCCAAGCTTGTACCTCCTGGAAATCTACAATAACTATAAGTAAGTGAAACTCTCGCTGTCTGAACAGAGAGAGTTAAAAATGAAATCAAACAGACAGAAGCCTGATCAAAACAGTCGACAGATCATTTAATCATGGGATTAATCTGTTTTCAGAGCAGGATAATCCCATCAGGATTATCAGTGATGAAGTGGTGTCTGTGGGCGGTTAAAGATCAAGAGTAGGTTAGAAGTTTATGGTCATAGTCAAACTTATATGTGGCCCACAGCCAAGTCATATCACATACCACTTTAATGTGGTCTATATGGATGGAGACCACGTGGGCTGTACACGTGTGTCAAAATTCAATTCTACTTTTTGTCCCTTGTGTGTAGCCATAGCAGGAAGCCCTAATTATTGACCAGGCCAGTTAATGACCAGTTTTAGTTCAGAGTGATTGAGTGCATCATCATTTACTGCGTTTACAGCGTGAAGCTGTTAAATAATCAGTAAAATAATGTTATTAAAATTCAAAAGTAAAAAAGAGGAAACAGCACTGATTTATTTATTTTATTCAACAAGGAAAGCACTTTTGCGATTAAAAAAAAGTTTGGAAACGTTTTGTGAACCATTGGCTTGAATGCACAATTATTGTCTGATGAAAGGCGTTTCACAGCGGGGGTGTGGGAGTGGAACCTGGGCTTGACAGTTAGACTGAGTTTCAGCGGGGAGACAGAGACGAAGGAAAGAAAGAAAGAAAGATTTCTCTTTCCTTAGTCCTGTCTCTCTGCTCAGTGAAAAGTCAAGGCTACCTGCTGATTGTTCTGCTGAGGGCGTGTCTGGGGGATACAGACAGGGAACTTGATTGTTGAGGAATCTCAATAGAAAGTACTAGGGAAGGTGGGGTGCAGGGCTGGGCGAGGGCTGGGAGGGTGCTGGGTTAGAGTGAGAGGTAGAATGAACGGGTGGGAGGTGATGAGGTCCTTTCTGTAAATAGCTTCTCGTGTTTGTGTGTGATTTGACTGTTTTGGTGGGAGCAGTGAGACGTAGAACTGGAACTTTGATTGTTCTCATGGTCAGAGTTTTATACATGAACAACTTGTTCTGTTCATGTTTTTTCCTCCTCTCACCTTGCACAGGAATAACATCATGACGCAGATATTTAAAATAGTCTTGAATACTTAAGGAGTCACAGTGCAGAAGGTTCTGGGTTCAATCCCAGGTTGGGTGGAGCCAGGAAGGACCCTTCATTTAAACCTTTTACTCCTCTGGTTTTCTGTGATTGTTAGCATTACCATGTGCTAAAAGTATTTGAATCTTTATAGACAAATTAACACATTTCAGTTGATCGTGTTTATGCATTTTCTGGATCACAACAATGTTTCTGTTTACCAGTCAGTAACAAAAATAATGGAATAATGTTTTGTCTCTGGTCTTCATCCCAGAATGTGATGGAGCAGTTTAACCCCGGGCTGAGGAACCTGGTCAACCTTGGGAAGAACTATGAGAAATCGGTCACAGGTAAGCACTGTTTACATCATTTAGCCTCTGTTCACGTGTTAACTCCCCACACTTACTGAACCCATTCTGTCTGTGTCGCAGCTATGACTCTCGCTGGAAAGGTCTATTTTGATGCCGTGGCGAAGATGGGAGAGAACGCCATGGTGTCTCCAGTCTCCAGAGATCTTGGTGAGTCTCATACGAATGCTGCCATTTCAATGAAATGAGGAGATTAAAATCCTCAGATGACACAGCTGTGGTTCAGTGAATGGTTTCCCAAAATAGTTTGACCTTTTACTTCAGTCCTCAAAGCTGGCTGCATAAAGTCCAAATCTTGAACAGCTAGACTTTAGCTGTGGATTCACCAAAAACAGAAACCAAGAGGTTAAAATAAATCAGAATATGTCCAACTAAGAAGTCTGTAAACATCTGGACAGGAGGGAGGTGAAGTTAATGTTCTGCTCTTCAGCATGGCTCAGTAGCAGTGTGGTGACGTCACCTATGATGCGCGGCTGTGAAGTTAGCCGTTCAATTTCTTGCGGGTGTTCCTCCATCCTTTGTTTCATTGTGGAATTTGCACCAGTGTCCAAGTCCAACACATCTCAGAGACGTGTCAGACTGGGTGAAGTCACCCTCACACGGGTGTAGTTGGGTGGATGTGTCACATGCTGTGGAAGAGTAAACACAGACAGGAGCAGAGCTGCTGGGCTGAGTCACAGTCAGGGCATCAGGGTAAAAGCTAATGGTCGCTCGGATGTCAACCCCAGGTAGTTTTCTGTTGTTCTTTTTTGAAACATTTTTGGCCTCAGGTTTGACTGTTGATTTGGCGATTGACTTCTTGGTCACTTTTAGCTATTTAGCTTAGCCAAGGCTAACATGTAGATGTTCTTCTTGGACATAGTTTTGGCTGTTATTTTATCTAACTCTTAGCCAGGTTTTAGCTAATCCCTGGCATATTTCTCCTTTTTGTATCTACCATTGGTGTCATTATTTGACTAAATTGTGTTGAGTTTTTATTTTCCTTTGGTAAGATCCACTGTTTTATCGACTATATTGTGTCTTTCCCATAGAATCTATTTCATTTCCATACACTTTTTTAAAGATGTGGTCTAAAAGCTTAGGGTAAGTCAAACCTGTGTCAATGCCATCATTTGCCCAAAGTCCAGGTACAGTATTAGATAAACCTGGCTTTAAATGCAGCCTGAGTCTGAATTTTTGAGAGAAAAACTTCAAAGTCCCAGCCGTTTTTAGGCCCTGGGAATAATCTTCATCACCGGAGTGAGAATCGTCTCACATGTCAGAGTGAGACGAGCAGCAAACACAGTGAACAAACACACAGACAGACAGAGGAGTGGAGCTGACTTTTTTCCACTGATCCACAGTCTTCCCATCTGCCCTCTACTCCAACCCACTGCTGCTCCTTTCTGTCTGAGATTTCACCATGGAGCAGGAATACTTTTGTCCTTCTTCTTCACCCCCGAGCCTCCTGTGTGGCTCTGAGCCAGATGTTTGAAATGTCACAAACGTCATTAACCACAACTGGAGCCTCCTGTCAGGAGAAATGACTCCTCTTCAGAAACTTCAACCAGTCACAGAAGCTTTCAGTGAGAGACACTCACAGCCTCACTGTTCTGATTCTGATTATTCTGGAGCAAAAACAACCACGCTCTCCGGCTGACATCACCATTTTTCACCTGATCAGTGTTAAATATATTAAAGAGCAGTTTAGAGAAAGGGTGGAAGGGTGGAGCAGGTGTGGTTATTTTTTCTCCTGTGGCATTTAAACTTCAAAACCTGCTGCTGCGTGCAGGGTGGACCCACAGATCTGTGTGGAGTCCAGTACTGAAGTCAAAGACAGGAAGTTCTGATTGTTTATAGGAACCTTTAAATATACGCTGTGATATAACAACAAAGACCAGCACTGTTTGCTGTTTGGACTCAACCTTGACCTCTGAACCTGA